ATTATTCTTTTGAGAAATAATTTGTCCATTTTTCAAGATTACTTCTTTTAATTTTGATAAGCTACCATTGCCTCTGTTTTGGTATTGTCCCGAGAACTAACCAACAATGAAAGAGATTCTCTTTTTACTGAGAAGTATAGGTGTAGCACTCCGAGACCTCCCTGAAGACGCAAGAAGGCATAACGCTCGGGCAGAACGGCTTGAGGTTATTGATATGGCCCGGAGGCCAGTCCACCTGTCAAAGCTACAATTGCGGAACCCTAAGTGGCCTCACTACCAAACAAATAACCATTGTATTGAGTAGTCCCTCTCCTCTTTTAAGCATCGTCGCCAAAGCTCCCTTTGGTCACCCTCTCGGCACTGCGAGACAAACCGTGCCTGTCATCAAATTTCCATGCATTTAAGGCGATACTCCCTCTTGCTAATTCTACCGGATCTGGCGTTTCGTCCTGTATACGAATTAGGTTCGGAAATGCGGAAACCTGTTGAGCATCATGCGTATCCGCCGCTAGTCGCAAAAGCACTGACCTCAAAGCAGAGTCAAATAAACAATAGGAAGGAATTTAACGTAGTTTTGTTGGGGGAAGGGTTTCAAGTTTATTCCTCCTTGCCATTTTTGTTCTCACCTCAGCGCTGCTCATTCATATCTGTCTGGTTCTAACCAGCTAGCAGAGAAGTGAAGGAAGTATCACGAATTCACACAATTTCTATCTTCATACAGATACAGTGGACAGTTCCTTGATGAACTTTAGCGGATGGTTCACAGCTAGTGTTGCTTCCCCTGCTAAAAGCCTTCCCGCAGACCGCGGGACTAGGGTAGTTGCCGAAAAGTAGACGTCATATTCAGCCCTTCTCTTAGGCGTTGTCACCGATTCTCTCATGCGCCGTATATACACTTCTTCCACCTCACTAAGGTTTATCACCCAGCAGTGGAAATTAGAATATTTATCCTCCGAGATCGGGTTTACTTTCTGCAGCCACTAATGTAGCGCCTTAAGTCTTCCCTGAGGTCGAATGAAGACGCAATACTCGGGCGGTAGTTCTCGAGGCTACTGACATGGTTCCAGAGGTCAGTTCAAGCGACGAAGGTACAATGATGGGGCACTTAATTGTCTCCTTTACCAAAACCGAGATTTAAACAAACAAATGCATTTCAATGCATTGCAATTGAAGTTAAATTTTCGTCAGGTTTGTTGTCTAGTATTTGGATGATGTACGATGTGCTTTAGCAGAATGCACCACCCGCAAACGTTTTTCGTAAACAATTTTTTTCTGGTGATGAATCACCTTAGGATTGATTCAGCACGTCCAGAAAGACCTTCTTATTACAAACACAGAATCACACCTCTCTTTTGATTAAAACTATTTGTCATTAACGTGCCGGGATATCTTTTGGCCCTGCTCAACACAAGTGATGGTGAAACGACTGCTTTACATCTACGGCTCCCACTTACATTCCATGCATTAACAGATTTTAGCCAATACGCTTGGGAGAATATCATTTTCTTCACCAAAATGGAGCTTTATGCATTCAAGTTTGTTTACAAACTGACTTGTGATGAGAAATGACTTCGAGCATGGACGTAGTGCTAAACGAGCCAATACATCGCTGGTTATCCTCATACGATTTGCTCACTGCCCAGCTTCCCTCCTCCCATCCACGGAAACACACATTACTTTATCCACACAAATCGAGACTGTTTGAGTGCCGCCTCACCTTGTCTACTAGACAGTGGATCACATGATCCCATCCGGGAATAAGTAAACAATGGAGTAAAAGTAGCAAACATGTGAACGGAGGTGACTACGGCTGGGTGTTTTGCATCTTGCATGAAATCGGGATTTAAATCGTGCTTGTGTCTTGTCAAGAAGGGCTGATGGATGCAGACTGTAATAGTAATTATACTAACCAATAAATCCATACTGTTCATTACATGGTGTCGATCTTATAAAGCTGAATAAATAAGGTAAAAAAGGCAATATGTGTACTAATGGCAAAAGTTGGCTACTCTTTAGCTTCCCGTCTACCTGCACAATTCGCTTGAGAAGTTGGTACGGAGCTACAAAACGGACTCTAATTCTGACGATATCAAGTTGCTGGATTTCATTCAAAATAAGGTAGTCTACAAAAATCATGTTTCCAATTTTTCCTCTCTTTGATGAAATTGCGCATGTCCAGGACTTCAGCATTAAAAGTAAATAAAAGGCCGATTAAAAGAGCTTATGTACACATTGGCAGTATTTTTAAATGCTGAAATATATAATAAAAATTCCCACAAACTTCACTCAGTGGACGGTATTCAAAACATTTACTTAAATTAGTATGAGTAAGGAAAAATGTTTCCTATGAAATGTGTACGCATGCTTGTTAAATTGCTCAGAGCAGTAACATTTAAACATTTTTCAAAATTAAGGTGATAGTGTAGTCTTTAAAAACTCGAAGCGAACGAAGAACGAATTTTGGTGTCAGTGTAGCTGAAATACAGGTTCATACGGTCCAACAAATGGAATATGAGTAACATCGGTTTAAAAATAGCCCGTTTCATGGACAGTATAAATCTTTTAATGCATATTTTTGGTATGAAAAATTCATATTTTTTAGTTTGCCTGCTGTGGTGCTGTTGGGATTGAGGACTTCTCGGGTTTGCATGTTCCCGCCAGTTGTGGCTCAACCATTACAGAGCAGACTCAAAGACCAGTAAGCGAAGTCATTACCCAACCAACTATGTTTTCAACTATAGTAATAGACCTTCCAGTCATATTTCGATACCTTAGTTCTATTGGGAATTAAACCTACAACATTTAATAATTTTTTGGGTTTTCGCTACAAATTTGTCCCACAGAGCCCAAAAATCCCGTTTTTATTAATGACATTAAGGTTGAGAAATACATTTTAGTTGGCCAGGAAGCCCCTCTTCTTATAACGAATAACTATAGCAAAAGCAACGAGCCAAAACTGTGCTTGTGTTATCGACATGAATACCCCTTTTTCAGGGATGTCAACCCAAGATTCTTCAATCAGGGCAGGAGAACCTCTCGACAATGGCAGGCATTGGTATCGGCTTTGGTGTTATAATGGTAAGCTGCATACTTGAGACGAGATGCGGTATTTGAGACACTGAGTACCAACCCATATATAGCATCGAAAAATAGCAGTCTTTAGCGTGTGAAATCCGTCGTAACTAATGGCGTAACTGTCATATAACTGCGTGCAAATGTATTTTACAATCAATACGAACCTCAAGCATCATGTGTGGTGTAAAGCAACAATTTGCCAGGCATAAATTACATCCTCATTATCCGAAAGCTGTAAGTCTCAATAATAATACAGGCAACTAACAGATTTTCTACCAATTTTAGTAAAATGGAAACGTTTTCTAACCAAAACTCTTAAAGGATTAAGTAAGAACATTATGACAATCAAAATAATTCCAAAGAGAAGGCGACTTTTTTCTTTTAAATCATCTAGATCTGTGGAATGGTCTTTTCCTTGATGCTGTGCTGTGCTCTTCGGGAGATTAATTAAGATGGAATGAGGTGGATCCCTACTGCCTCCGCCTCCTTAACATCTCATGCTGCTACTCCCAAGTACCATGACATGTCTTCCAGTTCTGCACGCAACTTACGTCACTAGCCTGCCTCTTCCACTTCTCTCCTGTACACCGGCATTTACCTACACTCCTACCTATATAGGTACCCTATTCTGTTTCCTTACTTTAGACCTCTATCTGTTATTGCTGCATTTGCCAATAAAGGTACATTTGTGAAGTGTAAAGAGGAACTTCTACCTGTATTCACTAACAAAAGTGGGGATAGGACATGATGTCATGTGTAACCCAAAGGCAATGGCTCTGCATTCAGTAAGGCAAGAACCCAGAGGGGAGGTAAACTGCTTCAAAGAAGCACAAATTGGCAATCAATTTTTGCCAAAAACTGAACCAAGGTGACGTATAAATGTGAGGATCTTTATATAAGCGCCTTCTTACATTCAGATAAACATTCCAAGACATAGGGGGTTAAAGGCGTTTGGAGGTTTAACTAATGGTTTAGCATCGAATGCTAGAGAACAAATAGACTAAAGTAACAAAACCGCCAAGCAAATTTTACATTTAATAGGCGTTTGAAAACGCACAGTTGTTTATTTACATAAAGAAGTGCCAAAAGAGTCCAAATCCAGAAATGTATTTGCAAAAACAACATCAGTAATTGTAAGCTATCTTTTTAAAGTACCAAAAATTGAAAGACTATTAATGAGCAGAAAAGGGGACACAATGCTTGAGTAAAAATGGACACCAACTGGATCAGAAAATGAGTACAAACCTAACATGTAATAGACGAAGTAATAGCACTTAAATTAGACAAAATTAATAAGCTTAAAAGTCTGTTGAAAAAATTCTGCAAATCAAAAGACGAAGTGGTGAGAGACCTATGGTCTACGCAGTCTTTCCAGCCGCGCCGTGATATCAGTGCTATCCTGATCGGCTACGGGGACGCCGGTCGATCCCAGAGACCGAGTAGACGCATTCGGCAATTTTTCACTCAATTCAGTACCCATTTCGTCAAGAATTTGGTGAATAACGGCTTCCCCCTCAGAGTCATCAAAGCTATAAGACAGAGCATCATTCATGGCCTCTGCTCTGTTCGACATTTTCATAATTTCCTTAGAATATTTTTGCATCACCTGGGCGCTACCTGATTTTTCCACCCTCTGCATAAAAAACGCAAAATAATGTAAAATTCTACGATTTCAAAAAGTAATGTGCAAGTACGTACCCTATTCATCTTAGTCATCATTAATGTGGTAGTTTCAGCTGCTTTTGCGATTCTAATATTGGACGCGCACACTCTCTCCTGAGCAAAAGCATCATTCATCAGCAAGCCCATCTCTTTGTTCTTAGAAACTTGCTCGCGATTGTTGACAAGTTGTCTCGCCAATATAGAACAAGACTTTTTGTCCCCTTGTAAGGCAAGGCGTCTAATTTCATTCTTAAGTTGAGCCTCCTTAAGTTGAAGTTGATTCCGGTCTCTTTCTAGTTCCCTTCGTGCTGTTCTGTTATTCCTTTCTGCCTCTTTTAGTTGTTTTTGCAGTCTTTTCTCTCTGGAAAAGATGTTTGAAGAAAATCCCAAATTCGTGTAGCAGTCGATAAAGGTCAAGGAAATAATCACTTGGTCTAACTAAGCAAGACTTACAAACTGCAATTAAGTATAAATATGTGAAGACAAGGAAGGAAATCAGATAATTAAAATAGTAAAAAGAACTTTTCACACCGTTCACGGAATTTTGGTAATGACAGAGATCGAGGACTTGGACTCATGAAACTATGTATACTTATGCAAAAAACATGCAAAGTTTATTTGTAGCTGTATCATTCTAAGACATTTCTGAAGACGAGAAAAGGAAAATGCTTGGGTATAATAATATATATTTGACGTACAGAATGTTTTTGGGCTACTAGCGTGGCCCGAAGGCCAGCCCACCCAGCGTAGTGCATCGGACTAAGTCAAAAGTGTCTCCACACCATTGTGTTACAATAGCAATGCGCCTTCCTAGTTTTGAAGCTGATAAGAGGTGTTAAAAATGATACGAAAAAGCCGCTTGAATATGCAATTTTAAATATATTGAGCTTGTACAACAATACACACCTCTATTCTGAGAGATGTTTAAGCCGCTTTATACATTTCCCAGGATTTTTAGCTGGGTAGCTTCTGAAATCATCATCATTTATTGACCACTAGTCATCTAAATGCTTTCAACCAATGGCTATGCCGAGGAGCCATCAGTTGTACGTCTTCTACAACACTTGGGCTGTGCCGCGGATGTTGTTCCATTAAACGAAATAACATGGAGAAAATTTACCATGAGCGAGTAAGAATACATTTCTACCGACGGTTGCTTTAGCAAGTAGATAGGTTTTGTGCGCAGCACTGTCTGAATAGCCTTCTACAGGGACCGTATTTTACTGTTGAATCTCTTGCGGAAATCGCGCATAATTTGGACGACAGGGAAAGGAGGGCGCGCAATTCCATGCAGTCGGATTGTCTGAATACTGATGAAACTGGGAACTTTTCTGTGCAGGTTGGTTTTTCACAATAATCCATTGCATCCTGCTGAGGTAATTGAAATGAATTTATGGAATAATGCTTACATGGCCGTGTATTACTATTTCAGAGCTAAAATTCTCAGTCTCTTGGTTTTTCTTTAGGTGATAGCAATGGCTCTTCAAAATCTAGGTCTTGAATTGGTTCCCTACATGCGCAAATCTGAGGAAGCTGAAGCAGCCAGAGCTGATCCGACATCACAACGTGCCTTCATCTGTCACTTTGATATGCATTGGTTAGCTATCCGTCGCCTAGGTCACCAGTGGTTTGATCTCAATTCTCTTCATTCTCAACCACGGCTTATTTCCAACACTTATCTCTCCATTTACCTGGCCCAGCTGAACTCTGAAAGATACTCAATATGGTTTGTCACGGGTCACCTTCCCGAATGTGAAGCCGATCAGTATTTGATGGTACTTTTGAATTCCCTAAGATACTATAAAAAGTTGAGTATGCTTTGTCTTCTACTAAACGGTTAAAACGTCTTATTGCTGTATTTGCACTACCATTTGCTTCGATCTCCTTAAGTGAATACTCTCATGATCTTTCTCACTGCAGCTGTACCCTATATCGGAGACTTATCTGACACAACCTGGTCATAGCTCGGGTAGCAATGAAACTGAAAAAGACGCCGACCTACAGAAGGCCTTGGCATTGAGTCTGCAAGATGACTTCAACGATATTTCTCTTCAATCTGTCCTCGCTGAGACAAAGAGGGAGGCGGAGGATCTTGAAATGCAGAGGGCTCTTCGAATCTCTGCACAGGTTTATTTTCTCTTTAAGGGGTTTTTGCAGTAACTTGTTTCATTTTACACCTAGGAAGGGGCAGAGCCTGTTTGGGTTCTTGGCATCATTATTTGAGACCGAATCAGGCATTGGACTCAACATGGCCAGATCGGGTCATATTGTCTTGAGCTACATTTTATGAGTCTTGTCATGAATTTATTATTGTAATATTACGGCGGATGATCAAATCGTAGATTCAGGTCTAAATGGCGGCTTTAAGTATACGGTGAATGAGGTAGCGGGCTGACAGATAAGACAGCAGATAAAAAACTGGTGGCCCTGGTCCCTTCTGAGTCGAACAAGCTGGATTCTGAAACGTGGCAGTTTGCTAAGCCATGTAAACGCGTAGGTCTCTCTTTTAATGCGCATTGGTTTAAGTCGAATATGCGCGTGAGGACAATGGGAGTTACTCCGTGCTTCAGTATAATTTAAATGGATTGGTTGCCGGGTGGTTCTAGCTTGGAGAGGTGTTTCGTGGATATGGTGCATGCCCATGATATTTGCCATTTGTTTAGTATTGAAATGGAAGTGAAGCAACGTAGTCGTTTGGATTTTCAGCTGTTACAATTTGAAAAGTTTATGGTGAGAGTGTAAGGGCTTGAATTCTCTCAATCAGGCGAGTAGAAATCCGGCAATTCGGTTAATCGTCGCATGAACGTCCGGGTGTATCGCGGATAAACTCTGGGATTGTTATCAGCCGGGATTGCCGTCGCTAGTGCTTTGTGATTGTATTTCAGCTTAGTCGTTAATTCGGGTTATTCATCGCGTGGATTTCGCCCCTGTCCCACCTTTGGCCGGTAAAAGGGGTCTGAGGCTGCTCGTGCATTACCCAATGTCGGTGTCGTCCTTACTTTACTGCAAAGATCATGAAATTTGCTTAGGATTTATGTGCTATTCTGGCTTTTGGGCTCTGCAAATTCCAGGGAAATACATTTAGGATCGTAGTAATTACACCGCGTGAAAGCCCAGCTTATATGCCATTTTTTCCTTGTGGGATGCTTATTCCTTTACTACGGGGCAACCTCAGATCCCCGAAGTGAGAGCTTTGGAGGAGGCCTTGCTATTATCTCTACCTGTAAGCGGCCCTTTAAACGAACGCACTGTTCAACGTGCAAGTTGGTATACTTTAAAAGTCGTTCCGAATGTCCTCATTAACTTGGACGCTCATTATTCTTGTGGTGCAGGAATCTCATGGCTGTGTGAACGATAATAATTCCACCCGTGGATACATTCGTGAGTTAACTTTTGGCTAAATATCTGTTAATAGCTCTCAATTTGGCATTATTTGTCGATTTTATTCTAACTGTCCGTGCTCTAGTTGAAATATTGATATCAAAAGTATGGATTTGTTCTGTATATTAGCTTCACATTTGAGAACATTGGAAGACATTGGTCGATCTGAAGAAGACAGGGATCTACAAGAAGCAATTAGATTATCGTTGCAGGTGAAATTTATTTATTGCCTTATATTGGTCATTCTTCATATATTCACTGATTTATAAATGGACCTCAGTAGTAATCCCAAAGGCGCTCCTCACGCCAACAATTACATGCCACTCTTGAAGAAAATTTTTCTTAGCTATTTGTTAGGGAGGATTTAATATGCCATGCCGCTTCATAATAGGTTAGTGAGATAAATTGGTTCCACTTGTTTCTTACACCTTGTGAGTTTATGCTCTAAATTAAATCGTACTCATTCTACTTTCAAAATGAGTTGCAATAGTCTCGGTATTTTTCGTATCTCTTTCCAGTTTCAGGACGGAAATTAATTGTCCCAATTCATCTATTCGTAACGTGGACAATTTGACCTTTAACTACTTTGCGAACGTTGAAATAAAGCTTTTACTTTTTTTCTATATATATGAATTAATAATATGACTAATTTATTTGTCGGAGTTTCGTATAGTGTTGAATTAGAGCATAAAGGGTAGGTTGATATTGTGCTCCCCACATCCAACGTAGAGACTTCCATACACGGGTTTTTCTGGTACATGGTATAAAATGTAGCCCAACCACTGTAGACTTTTAACGTAGACAACGGTGTTTCCGCGTTCGAACAGTATTGCCCAACAGCCTAAAATAGGGGTAGAAGGGTCGTTTAACAAACTAATAACGTTAAGTAGGGGAATTTGGGTGATGCTACCGCTTGGCACATCGGTTTCCAGTGTGTCCAGGAAGTCGGTCGCTTTGTTCAGCTTCACCTTGTCTTCTAAGGGTTTGTGAGGGTACTTTAAAGGTCTCCTGAAATGGAGGTACGATGAAAGTTTGGCTGCCTCCGCCGTTGTGAGACCTAGCAAGCAAGTGAGACTGAAAATAGGGTTGCCTTCATAATTCTTATTTCGAATGACTTGGCCATTTGCTAAACGGTGGAAGGAGCCTCGTGGTATTACTTGGACATCATGGTCAATTCGTTTAATAACAGCTGCCAGCCTATCTTCTTCCTTCATTTTCATCTTAATTTATAAAAATTGTATTTGACTGCCAACTTGTGTCTCTTCTTGAACTAGTTCATCACCTTTAAAGGACTGTTTCAGCTCAGTATGCTTGAATTCATGTTGGGGATCACCAGTAAATCGCATCTTAAAGTATTTGGATTTTTCTACTTCATATTTTGTTGGGATTGGTAGCAAACACCAAGTTATACAGTCCTTACTGTAAAGCGTTGTAATGTCGCTCATATAGTCTTTTCCTATACCCTGAGCAATGTAATAATCCGCCTGAACACCTTTTATTATGCCCCAAAAATTGACAATGACGTATTTCTGCTCATATCTAAGGAGAGTAAGAGATGTCTGCAATGAAGCCTTTTGTTCTGGTGTAAGAACAATTCCACAAGAACCTAGATAATCAATTTTAATGTGCAAGTCGGAGCAGTCCATCGGATTCTAAATGCGCAGTATTTTCTGTTTCCATGTTAAGTATGTTAAACAAAAATTCATGGATATTTTTAGGTCTAAAGTGACACAAGTACCAAAAAAGATGCCAAGGCGAATTTTGTAGCCATGATCCATCGCATAACTCATAACATTGCCTAGTTGGTGGCTACCATCAAATCATGATATCTATAAATGGCGAAAGTGCACTAAACCATTACTACTGAACCGATGTAATAAAGAAAGCTCAATGTATAATAACCAGGCCATATCGTATTGTAGATTTGTTAGTGGGTTCTGATGTACATCAACCGGTCCTTTTTTCATTAATATGAGTTGCATCAAGAACCAAAACGTTTAATCGCAACTTTCCCAAATCAAATTGTTGGAAATTTTTGGCTCCAAAACGCAAGAGCATCACCCTATGAATTTTTGGCTTTTATGTTTGCAGATGCGGAAGGCCTATGGTTTACCATGATTTGGTGTAAATTAGCACGATACCATCTAAAAATAGTAATAGCCTTCTTGCCACGCAAAGGGTAGGATCCATCACTAATTTGGAGATGACTCGGGGACCTGCACCTAAAAATTGTAAAACTATTTCGAAAACTAATATTTTGGTTTCTAAACCTTTTGTCAAATGTAGATAATGCACGTGCAAACACAAAAGATACTATGACTTCGTGCTAATAAATGCAGGACGAAACTTAATTGGTCTCAACTTCTCTGTTCCTCGTACTCTTAGAACGACGGGTTTGGTTTGACTTCGACTTATTTATCGGGGAAGTGAATAGGGGAAACTAGTACAGAGTTTAGGGGAGTAAAGATCCATAACCGCTCTCATGTTTGTTGGAGGGCAGCTCTGTCTTGAGGTTCGATTCGTATCCCCGTCTTATGTCTATACGGAACATTAAGACACTATAAGTATAACGACAACATGGGTTTCAGCGCATGTTTATGCAAAAATCTAACAGTTGCAGGATACTCTAAAGTGCACCTCATTTTGTAGCAGACACTAATTTCTTAAATTTGGATTTAAAGTGTTGTTAAATTTTTAAAAAGGTAATAAATCATGTGCCGTACTGTCACCTATCTGCTGTATTATTGTAATACGATAGTGTTTTATCCCTCGGTTCTGGTGAGGCGCCACTTTTGTACTTTGAATTAGCCCCCTTGTACCTTACTGGGTGGGCCGGCCTTTTGGCCCAGACACCTCCTCTGTGCCGAGTATATATTTTGCCAGTGTGGCGTCCCGGGCTCCCTGAAGACGAAAGAAGACAAAATACTCGGGTAGAACATATATTCAGCGTAGAGAAGGTGTCTTTGCTATTGGCATGGCCCGAAAGGCCAGCCCACCCAGCGAGATATAAGAGGGCCAAATCAAAGTACAGAAGTGGTGCCTCACCAATACTGAGGGATAAACCACTATCGCATTAAAATATATTCGATGGGATCGCGATGATTTGCGAATTGATTAAATCAAGAGGATGGCCAGGAAAATTTCTTGATATTAGAGCAGGTGCATTTGAACGGACAGCGGGAGGAATTCTAACTGATAGTGCATTCGTGCAAAATGAGAGAAATATAATCTTTTTATCTGCCATTCGAGTACATATGCATTACTTATTAGTCGCAGGTGGTTTAAGTCGTACGTTAATTACGCATACCTGTAAAAAGTGCCTAAAATAGCTTTTTTAAATATTTGATGTTTGATTGTATTAAAATCTTTTAGTATTTGTTTTACTACATAAATCTGCTATTTATAATTTATATTCTGTGGGGTAGTTTTATGAACTTAGTTCCTTATGATTGATAACGATGAGTTTTTTGATGAGTGCCTTAGAGAGCATAATAAATATAGAAAGTTGCATAGGGTCGAACCTTTACGCCACAGCATAGCGCTGGACAAAACGGCGCAGGAATGGGCCGAAACACTTTTTCAAAGAGACAATGTTACTAATAGCCCTCTATCAAATAAGGGGGAAATCGGTGAGAGCATAAGTAAGCGAACAAGTACCTCAGATGAGGTAGACATTTCAGGTATGCAATATTTTTTGGCATTTGTCTGCTAGGATCTGATCTCACTGCTCAATGGTACAATGATATTCGCAGTTACGACTTTGACTGCGCTACTGGTCCAGCAGGTAAAAATAGCCTGAATTTGTGCTTTCTCACCGTGACTGTAGGGAATTTGCTTAAATCATTTGAAAATTTTCATTTTTTGCCTAAGTGCTTTTTTTTAGCAACATAGCTGCGTTTAAATATTTGATCAAATTGTTATTCATTTACATGTTTGTGTACTAGGCAATTTTACACAGATGGTTTGGGCAGCTACTAGAGAGGTGGGATTTGGAAAGGCTTGCGGTAACGGACGATGCGTTGTAGTTGCTCATTACCGACCTCCTGGCAATGTTCGAGGTCGTTATAAAAATAATGTGTTCCCGCGAGTTGATGGAAAAGCAAACGAGCTCTCTAATCCTGGTAAGCGTACTACAATGCCTTATTTAGCTAATCCACTAAGTTAATTTCTGCTAAACCTGTGAATGCCAGTTTCATCTCTTTTTTTAACAGCAGATCTCTTAGCTATTTCTAACTGTCTTTCAGTTCACCAAATCGGAATATCGATCACATTTCTTTGAATATCCACTATTTTTCGTGCCAGGTCCTGAACATATTGCGAAAAAGTCAGTCACAAGGGGAAAACGTGTCGATGCTCAAGGTCAAGAACGAACGGTTGTTCGTGAAGTAATCGAAACGAAAAATGCGGACGGAAATGTTAGCCACTCTCTATGAAACTTAATATTTTATTGATACAAGTTTTCTTTTTTACAAATGCTTTTTTTAGATTCACCGTCGTATTATTGAGAGCTTTGTGGATGAAGACGACTCTGCACGGTATTCCAGCCAACAGAACGGCCTACTTTCACCACAGGCTATTCCACCCGTAAGCATATTTTTTGGGCATTGCTTATACTTTTAAACTAGGAGCTTTATTTTGCGCTCCCATTGGTCATATTTTGAATCCCATTCCTATGAACTAAAGCATTAGTTTTTTGCAGTAAGCTTCATCTTCTTTAATAATGTACATTATCTAGCGGTTTACGTTTACCAAAGTTATAGTTATGTGACTTGTTATGCATCATTTTAGTAAGTTTTTGTCTCGAGATCGTTACATAATGTTAATTTTGAAAATCTCTTCTTTGTATTTAAAAGACTTACTTGGGTTCTTGTGAAATCAATTTAAGTTGCCAACTTCTTATCCACATTTGCATCTAGTCACGTGATATACCAGTTCGTTGAAATCGCCACTGCCAATTTTGTCCCCTACCTACTTACTTTATTTAACAAAAACTGCTTGTAATCGTTTTTCTCCCCCAATTTGTTTAAAACCAAAGTTCACAAATCTTTTGGTCCTATTTGAAGTTGATATGCGTTGCAGAAAATGCAAATATTCGAAGATACATGACGTCAGTTCTAGGGGGCCTTTCTTAAAAGTGGAGAGATTTCCCACTTTTTGTCCGTTTATATTAGCCCGTGTCCAAGCATGAATTTTGACTATTCTAAACTTTCTAATAATCGTATGTTCTTCTGCAATCAAAATATATAACTTTACGAAGAAGGCCTTGTGTTAGCGATGCATTGTAAAAGTAGAACAAGATTTTGCTAGCAACTGCAAGGATTTCTTAGTAGAACTAAAGTAGTCCAACTGTTGCATTTTGAAAGGGAAATTAGCCGGCGTGTTGTGAGTGAGCTTCCCAAAAGTGTGAACAAAAATGAGAGTAAACCGTAGCATGTGTAATGTTGAATGTGCTAAATTTATTCCACCCAAATCACATCTTAAGAGTCATATAAATACTTTAAAGCTAGAAAGAAAATGAATTATGAATAATAATAAGGAATTGCCAGAATAAAATTACCATTGTAGATGTCCAGCCCATTTGCGGCTTCTTGTGATGCTGGTATAGATACTATATTTACTATATGGTAGGGTTTCTACTCATAAATTAGAATAAGAACATAAATAAGAAATAGAAGAAGACTGTTTTTATCTAGCAAACTGTCACCTTCTCCGATGTTCTCAAAGAGATGAGGAATTGCGCAGAGAAGGACTTTAAAAACTGCATTATTCATTCCCTAACCCCAGGAGTTTGATTTCAGGATGAAAATTCGACCTCAACAGACCCTGATATCGAACTTATGTAAGGCATAAATTCACCCGTTGATGCACCAGTTTTGAATACGCAAAATGAGGTGGGTGGCTGGGTGTTCACTAGTCCCCTCTCTATCCTAATTACGTCCACTTTGTCTCATTTGTTTTAAGCAACAAATTGGGTTAAATCTTTGTTTTGTTGGCCCTACAAGTAAGTAAGACAAATGGTCATCTAATTCGAATGCTCTCACTTAAGTCCGCCCTTTAGTGTCGTCAATGCATATCGCTTTTTGAGAGGAAAAAAAATAATTTAGAGAAACTTGCTACACTTTTGTCTATACCTACTTCTAAGTAGGCTGAACTTCCGGTCAAAATGAAGCATCTCAAATCGCTGGTATATAAGGTGAGGAATCATAGTGTCACATCCACTTTATATTTGGTGACTTACAGCAAAAGCTTTGAAATTGTTTTAATTTTTTTGCACTTAAATTAACCGAAGTTTTTAAAACTTAGTTTGCAGCACAGTGCTTAAAATGGTAGAGTGAGCTTAAGGTGTGATAAAGTAGTTGGAATGCACACTAATCAGTCTTTGTGACTTCTCAAAACATTTCGTTAAGTATCGAGATGAAAAATCTGCCTTCGTTGTCGTTTTATTTGTTTGTAAAAATACGGTACAATAGTCGGTGATGTTGTAACGATGCTTAAAACAGGGACAATCCTTCCACACCTCCTTTATCAAAGCACTTCCACGATTTCCATTGTAATGATGAAAAGATTGTCTTAAAATGCCTTGACTTAATTAGTCTTGTTTTGCTTTAATAAATGCACAGAGATTTTGTAAATACTTTGCTAGCTAAAGCAATCTCTGTTGATATGAATTGTTAAATTCTTGTCAAAGGAGACACAAGTAAGCTGCAAATCCCAGTCCAATGCAAAGTTTTGTGTCTGGAAGTCATGAAAAAGTCCAAGGTAGCCCCAACTCACCTCACTTTCTGTCTCGCATTTAGTTTCTACCAACTCGCTCTATTTTGCATGCAACTGTCCTGCTAGCACCAAGAAAAAAGGCAAATCGCTTCGAGTAATGTGGAGAGAAGGTAGTAGGTGAGGACTAAGTAGTAGGACCTAATGCAAGAGAATTCAAAAACAAGGAAAATTGGTGGAGAACACATCAAAGGGGAAAGGTAACGGACTGAGGCGTATTTGATGCATGTATGTATTTGACAAGCCGCTACAAATTACAAGTCATCGTAACAAGCCGTATTGACAATCGCTAAAAATAATTTTTTAAACAACTTATAGCAGTGACAAAGCTGGCTACTCAAACAAGTCTGAAAGTAATTTTGCAACTTTTTTCCATATAACTAGAATTTGATGTCCAATTGTTCCACATTATAGACGTGGATTTATTTCTAAAATAAAAATTACAATTTTTGCAAACAGTTTCTGCTTCATTGTGCCAACATTTTGAAATCTCCAGGCGTATTTGTCGGTGCACTAATCTGCTAATTTACGGGCACCCTTAAGTGGTAGCATAGCCTAAATGACTTGGATCTACGGATCATGGCTACATGAGACCACAGATGACAGTTGGTTTTGGTTTTTCCCACAGCAAATAGATGACAAGGCGAACCCGAGATTGTGAATCTGCTTTTTTACCCTTGCTGGCGTTAATTTTGAATTGTGGTAGCACGTGATCCCTCTTGACACTCGCCCGGACCCACAATGGACCGTACTAGTTAGGAATTGAGCAGTTAGCCTTTATAACATTCTGTTGTTCGTTTTCGCAAACTAGTCTCAGATTTCTGTCATTCCTCAAGCTCGACAGGGTAGGGAATCTCCAAAGTGGCCGCTTGTGCTAAAAGAGGAGAATTAATGTTTTTGTTCATAAAAAGCGCACAGAAGAATGTCATTTCTTTTCTGAGAAATCTTGCACCGAATTGCAAAGACACTGGTTTTGCTATTGTACCCCTGCATCTGTACCGCTAAAATGTGGGCGCTTTTTGAAAGCTCAGTTTCCAGTCCACAGTAGCAGTGTTATAATCACATCCTCTAAGGATTATGAAAGTTGGTGGCTGATTTTTTTCCTTTGTCAAAAATTTTAGCGACCATCAAAGCAGTCGCTTTTGGAATTCTCCGAGGATGTGCTCAAAATTCACAACCGGTACCGAAGACTCCATGGCGCACCCGATCTCGTTCTCAGGAGCGTGAGTTTTCCGTTCCATTTTGAACCTATCCATGCAACAAACTGTCAAAGTTTGCTGCTGATAAATCACAACTTTGCTATTTACTCAAATGCAGTGATGTTTTTTGCTTAAAACAGATTGCGTAATCTGTAATTTGCAAGCTTTAACCACAATCCGAAGTGAATTTTGGTGTAAAAGCACATTTATTCTGTGCTACATTCATAAATTTCAAAGTAATCATGATTAATGAGAACAAGGAGTATTTTAATAAGTAAAATAACAAAGATGAGCTGGCAGCTGAAATCAAATTGACTTTCCTTTGGTGCCTTAGTCACATTCCTTGTGGTAAATAAAGAGTTTTGGCTTTTCCTGTCACGTTTAATAAAACAAAAAAGACTGAGCTGGGCATTCAAAGTTTGGTGGTATTTCGGTCTTGGTATTTCCGCCTTAAAAATACTCTTTTGCCCTAGTACGTCTACTTTGTCGAAAGAGGCATGCCTTGTTTTAGTGGTTGAGTCTGCAATTTCTACTGTGTGAGACGAGGTTTTAGTAGTTTTTGACTTCCAAAATTACTATGCAACGTAATCTCGAGTGGCTCAAATTTCAACACAATCGGAATTCAGTGGTTCGAGGTGTCCAAAGTGATTTAAAAATGCATCCATGATGCCAATTTATACATCAAAGCAGTTTGTAAAATGAGATCTTCGCATGGGCAATGGTTTGCGCATTTCCCTATTTCCTCCAAATTGTGGTACATTAATTTTGATAGAGGTTAAAAGAAAAAGGGATAATAGGATTGATCGCATTAGCTAACCTCTTAAAAAACCAACTTGAGATTAACTTCACGGGGATAGAGGAGCGATGCCGATCTTTTGATAACCAGCCAAAGGGCAGTGCCAGTCACAATGCCGTTGAATTCATAATGTCAGGCAGGAAAATCAACCTTTTGCATCTTAACAGTAACTTGCTTGTAGACTGATAAGATTAATCTACCCAGCATAAAAAGGAAAACCTGATGGAGGAGATTTCTTGCCTCGTATCAGGTGAATTAACTACTTTTTTCCGTTTTATTCCAAACAGCCCAATGCTGTTTGTATTATGGATATGGAAAAGCCTCACTTTTTAAAGATAGATTTTTAAGGCTGCTTGTTATTATTATCACTTATGCGGCTAATTTTTTTTATTAAAAATACACCTCAAATCGCAATTTTTCAAGCCATTAATCAAGATACGGTGTTACAAATAGCTAATTAATTCCTAAGCAGAACCCGTAGTCAAGATAGGCAGGTTTTGGCACAAAGCGGGTCTAAAATACCAAAGATTTTGATTTTGATGTATCAAAATAGAAATCACTTACCTTTAAAATACACGACGCAACTAACATTTACCAAATATTTGCATTGTGAAACGTAAAAAAGCGGATCCGCATTTGATAAATATCCAAGTAAAAATTGTGTTTAGGGATTTTTGATACTCCTCCAGGTGAAGCTTCCACACTCAAAGAAAGGGCCTCTTATTTACTCAAACTTTGGTTTCAGCGACTGAATGCGATGGCACAGGAATGGGCGGAGTTTCTTGTTGATGAGATATGCCTTTCCAACAGCGGATTCACCATCGATGGAGTACGTCTGGGCGAGAATATCACCAGTCGATGGTCCAACGGTGAACTAGAGGAGTCAGGTTAGTTGGTCTCCCGCATACTAAGAAGTAAGGAATAAAAGTGGCGATAACTTATACCAAGTAAACACCAATCTGAGTCATTTAGCTGGCTAAATGTGCTTCGTGATTTAACTTTCCATTGTTAGAATTAAACTTAGCTGGCAAGAAGTGTGAGGGATGCAGTGCAGACATAGGAAATTTATCTAAGTGATACAGCCCACTTATGTCACGGAACTTCTGGATTTACTATGCAGTAAATAAAAGGAAATGGGGTTTTACCGGAAGGTATTTTTGTGGATTTTAGATTAAAAATCTTTAAAATTACGCTAGTAGCCGCCTTCCGCAATCGGTTGATTGTAGGAATAAATAAGTAGTAATCAGTAATTGCGATTACTTCTGGATACTGAAGGCTGTTTACAGTAACAAACTATCAAGGATTAAAACAAGCTAGATAACAACTAAGAGGAGCATAGGGTTGTGGTTTTTGAAGTAAAAACTTTATTGTTCCTGGAATCTTGTAGATGCGTTAATAATTAACCTTTAACTTAAAATTTTTTGTAGTGCGGATTGCAGCACCCCGCCCTGCGCTTATTGGTCAAGGCACTGTGATAGCATCTTACCACCTGTCTTTTTATTTGTTTGACATTTTGCCTCTAAAATCTGTCTTCCGCCCTCCATTATGCATTTAAAATGTCAGAAAAGGCAATTTGAAACACGGTGGCCGATATAGTCAGTCCAAAAATATCCATTCCCTCAATTTAAACTTTCATCGTCTGATCTGGACGAAAGGATGTAGTTGTGATACCTTGCAATACTTGAAAAAAAAAACCTAAGGAATTCCTATTCTTTTTCATCTTTCGTCTTTTTAACAAGTTGTTCAATACACTTGCTGCCAGTGTCACACATATGTGACGTGTGTTCTCCATTAGCTTTTAGTAGATAGTTTTAGTTATTTAGGACAGTAAAGCAAATATAAGATGATCTATATCTTGAAAGGACTATGACTTGGAGAATATTCCAAATGACATAGTTTAAACAGATCACATCAGTTGCGAGCTACGGTAGAGGACGCGGTAAGATATTAGGCATAATTCCGTAAAATTCACTTGCTTTCTTGTCAAATCCAAACCCTCGATGGGTATGAAATTTAATGAGTGGTTGGAAAATAGGGTTGCAGTTTCATCCTCATTCACATTACTTGTTTTGCCTTTTTTTGCGAATTTCAGCAAACGATGTGGTCTCAAACTGGTACCAAGAGTCGTCTCGATTTAAGTACGGACGAGAACCGGTCAGTATACAGGGTGTTGGTGAGTCCCAACATAAAAACGCAGCCAGACAAAGTGTTATGCGAAATAACAACAATCCAACCTAATCAGATCTGACAGTTCACAGAGTAGATTTACTTGGATTTACTTGTTGAGTGGTTGAAGCAAATGCTTCTACTGTGAAGGAAGCACTATAAAGTGGGAACTATTCTACATTTTGCATCGGAATCCATCTATTTTTAGCAAAATTTCCTCAAATTAATAAAAGCATGTTTTGAAACTCCTAACAAAATTGCATATAAATATTTTTTTCGTAAGAAAATGAAAACCTCTGTTAGGACACAAGTGGAAGTGACTTGGTGAAGCTCTCTGTAACCTTTTTCTAGGTAGACGTGAGCTGGCTGTAATATTTTGTCTCTAGAAGCCAGAAATAAAGTCAAGCCCTGTCCTAGACTCCTCCTTTTCTACCCCACTTTTATTTTTTTCAACTGTCTTGTCTATCCCTCACCCAACCGTGAGATTGTGTGCTGTTGAGGCATGCCTAGATAAGTAGCACCATGAGAGTACGGAGAATGGGGATGTAGTAGGATATCCCCCTTCTCAACATATAATTGGTTATGATGTGCGGATTGATACCAGATTTGTATCCCAAAGTGAGGGAGGTGGTAATTCCGATGAATAATCCGTGAACAAATGGCTTCATTAATCACTCTCAAAGCTATTTGATCGCTGCCTTAAAATAACCTTCAAGCAGTAGTCAAAACTGCGGATGCATGAGGGATTTAGAAAAACCTTGTTTTTTTTGCAACTAAAATAATTACTTCTAATATTTTTGCCTACCGCGATGATAAAAATGATAATTTCCCCACAGGCAACTTCACACAACTGGTGTGGGCCTCCTCCCGAAATCTGGGCGTAGGGCGAGCCACTCGAATAGCTCGAAACGAGGAGTCAACAGCGGAGAAAAACCGCCTCCTTTCCTCTAAAATCGTAGTTGTCTGTTTCTACTTTCCTCCCGGCAATGTGGCCTCTTACTTCAATGACAACGTTCACCCCCCTCTCGTCGAAGAGGGCACTTCCGGTCAATCCACCTCCGCGTTTACATCCAATCAGCCTTCTTCACTTGCCAACGCAACCTAGTCTGCTTTTTTCATTTTATCTAATTATTACTTTTACTTCCTCACTTTCGAGTGGCCTACTGAACTTGTATTTATAACCCAAACTTATCAACAATATGCACACACATGCACACAATTTCTTCTTGCTCAACGCCACCAAATGCACGTATTTTGAATACTTCTTTATGCTCTTTGGACTTGCATTTGACCGGCCAATTTACAGAGGTGGTCTTTTAATTCCTGAAATTAAGCAATTCTTTTGTTTAATAGTTTTCAAAATTCTTTAATAAAAACGACTATTTTTTGTGGCAGGAACCAGAAAGTCAGTGAGGCTTACTTCCAAACAATCGTCTTTTCAAGTTAATCAAGCATGACAGTGGTTGTTGTGAAGAATAGAATTAACTACAGGGAACGGTCAACTGGTACGTTCTATCACTATGGTTGAAATATGTGTAGATCTACATTTCCATAAACTGAGGCGGATTCGCTACCAAAATATTGTGTAGTATGAGAAGCAGTAGTACTAGAAAAACTCGGGTAATTTCATCCAAGTCCCAAGAAGCACAATTACTTGTTATTGAAATGCGGGTTAATAGTAAAATTACTTTGCTTTAAATAAGCAAG